TTCCGGCGACTTTGGGTGCCTTTTTCCACTTTCTTCATCTCTCTCGTGGTCTCTCCTTGCGTCTCCAGGTGTGTTCTCCTCGTCTTTTCTTTTATTTATGGAGAATCGATACCTAGAGTTAGGTGAAGAACTTCTGATTGTGGAATGGTTTGGGGATGTTTGGGTTTGGGGATGATTGGGATGATTGCATGTTGCATGGTACGCGTGCTGTGTGGTTTGTGTGTGATGCCTCGATTGGTGCTATTTAGTACAGCTTTGGTATGCTTGTTTCACCGGGGGCCTAGTCCACTGTCCGAATCGCTCGATTTGAGGGTCCCCGGTGTGGTCTGTGGTGAAATTCTCATGTGATGGGTATCCTTGTTTCGCCGGGAGTCTAATCCACTGTCCATATCTTTCGATATGAGGGCTCCCAGTGTGGTTTTGGCCTAACATTGACCCCGTTTGCTTGTGTGCCCTTTGTACTTTCCTGTGTTTTGCAGGATCATGGAGGTTTATCTCGACCAGCCGAGCATCACCCAGCGCCATATGCTGCGGAACCTCCGTAACCGCACGATCGCCGAGCACCTGCACCTCGATTTTGAGGTGTTCGAGGCGCTTCATGCCAGGCCACAGATGGAGGCCGTGGTCCGCACCTATGGTTGGCGGCGTCTTCTCACCCTCGCCGAGCCGACCTACAAGGAGCTCGTCTGGGAGTTCTACGCCACCTTCCACCACAACTCGAAGGGGAACTCCGACCATGCCGATGCGGTTCAATTCACACTCGGCGGGGTGGCGCACTCCCTTCGTCAATGCACTTCGCCTCAATTCCCGGGAGGCCGGCGGGCCGCCCCTACGCTTGGACCTCTCTGATCCCACCGACTTCGCTTCCCAGGCGTACTTTCAGCGCATTTTCTTACCGAACAATGTGGATGAAGAGTACATTGCCAGCTAGACGCGGGCCGCCCTCCTCCCTCTGGAGTGGCGGATCCTCAACCACTTGCTCTGCACTTCCTACACACCCAGCAAAGGTTCATCCAACCGGGTCACACTCCGGACACTCTGGTTCATGGATGCGATGGGTCGTTCTGAGGACACCATCCAGCTGGGCTCTGTGCTCGCCCGGACGTTCACTAAAGCCGCCAGCAGCACGACTCGCAGCCTTGTATGTGGCCCGGTGATCACCGCCTTGGCCCGCCACTACGGGGTTGACTACACGGGGATGACGTTGGTCCGCGGGCTCACCCCGCTCAGCGAGGCTACTCTCCGCCACCAGCACATGGTTGCTCGCCACGGGCGTGTGCACTGGATCGCGGGCCTTCCTCAGCCACCTCTACCTGCAGCGGGCGACCAGCCCGAGTCGAGCGCCGCTGGTGGACGCCGAGTTCCCCGTCGCGCTGTTCGTCGTGATCAGGCTCCCGCGAGCCCCTCTCCTGCTCCCCGGTCTCCTTCTCCAGGGTCTCCTCCTCTAGTGGTGGTGCCCATTTCCGACCAGTTGGCGGCGATCGCTCAGTAGAACGAGCGCATCCTGGCCGGCCAGGAGTGCATTCACACCCGCCTTGATCGTGAGCGGGACCGAGGGCGTCGTCTCATGTCGGGCCAGCACTACATTATGTCCTACTTGGGCTTGGACCCGAATGCGGTCCACTACTAGTTCGTGCAGTCCCCGGGATTTCAGGATGAGTACCCTCCACCCACCGGCGATGGTGGTGATGCCTTCTAGAGCTGGTTCTGTGCTTTATTTGTGTTTTAGACTGAGACTCCATGTTTTGTGGTTTCGTTTTGTTTTTTTTGTACCTTGGATTGTAGACCTGGAACTTCGGTTCTTTCACCCAGTGTGTGTGTCTTTTGTTGTCTCTAGCTCTATGCCTCCTTCTCTGCTTTTGACTGGTCCGCCATCCAGTCAATGTTCCTGACCACTGTTTCACGGTAACATCGTTCCCCTTCCCTCTGCTCCATTGAGGACATTGTCGCATTTAAGTGTGGGGGTGTTCTTTGTATGAATTGGAACATATATATGGGTGCTTGGAGCCTAGTCCACTGTCCAAATCTTGAGATTTGAGGGCTCCAAGCACGGCTGTTTGCTTGATGTTTGATCGTATTGGCACTGTGGATGTGATTAGTGAATTGAATGGCTTTTGACTTGATGCATGACAACTTGAGTGTGACTTAGACAACTTATTGGGATGACTGAGATGTGCAGTAGAATTGTGTAGGGGTTTAGTTTTTCAACTGTTTGCTTACCAAATGTGACTTGGTTTGATCACTTGCTTTTGACAGTCATTTATGCATCTAGTTCAGGGAATCAGAACGAGAGATAGAGCATATAGGTAGCCATGTGAGATTTGAGCCTGCTCGTTTCTTTCTTGTGCGATAGTTTCCTCTTCCATGATGTGCAGCATTCACGTTGTCATTAGCTAAGATGATGGAGGCATAGGATTAGCCCACGACCAAATTGACTGTCCTGGTGTGTCATACCCCCTAGTCAGCCCCTTTGAGCCGTGTGTTTTCCTTTCTTTCGGTCTTCAATGAAAAGTCACCCTTTTGCATCTTTTAGAAGGTTCCACAGAGTGATTTTTACATGTTTTCTGCTGTTTCTGCTAAACGTAATGTGAAGGTTGGAGGTAGTGCTTAAAAGTTGGGCAGGTGTTTGAAAATGTGCAGAGGTGGTGGTTCTCTTAAGAAATGAAAAATAATGAAAGAAAAACAAAGAAAAAATGAAAGCAAGAGATAGCCACCACCAAAAATCTGAGTAATGCCCATTTAGTAGTGTTTCTTAGCAGTCTGGCTTAGAAATACTAACATTTATGTAACCTCCTTCGCCCTTGTGCTCTAAAGAATTTGAGTAATGCAGAATATCAGAAAGAAAGTTATTGGTTTGATTGACTGTGAGTCTGTTGGGTTTGGAAATGTGGAACCTTGTGCTGAATGAATACTTCCACCACCTAAAAGGCCTTTTCCCCATGTCCAAGACCCTAGCCAGTCATCTGAACCTGTGTCTAAGACCTCCGGATTAGTTAGTGGTGACACCCCATATGTGAACTCTAGCACTTAGAGGCTGCATTCATGATGAAGAGATGTTAGGGATTGAGAGATTAAGCATGCGCATTTTTCGCATCAAATTGTCCTGACCCCACTGGTCGAGAGTGAGCGATTCATTTTCTCTTATTCTCTATACTCTTTATCCCGGTGAGGACCTAGATTGCTCGGTCTTAATTCTGATATCTTGAGCTTTGTGCATGAAGTGACTGTTTTGAATAAGTGGTTGAGTCAAGTCTATGTTGGTTGGTGAACAGAAGGGAGACTCTTCCTTTGCTCAATTTTACTGCATTCGAATGTCATCTGTGGTGGTTGTCTAGGTTGTCATTGAGGTTGTCCATGTGTTAATGATCGAAAGCCAGTATGATCCACGTGTTTTTTGCCGATATGATATGCCCTTAAGCATGCTTGATTGAAACGTTTTTGAGCTTACCTTGTGTCTGACTTGGTTTGCTTGGGGACAAGCAAACAGTTAAGTGTGGGGGAATTTGATAACGATGTAGTTGCACGTATTTGCACCCCTACTTCTTATCCGTTTGAGGGGCATAGTCGTGTATTTTTTGCCTATTTTACGCCAGGTTGTGCTACTTTGTCATATTTCAGGTCCCAGGCGTCAAAAGGAAAGGCTAAGCACGAGTTTTGGGACATTCGGAAGTCATTCGGTCGAGCTGGAGCCAAAACACGGGCACACCTAAAACTGAACACGACCGTGTTCCTAGACCGTGCTTTTACTGCCGAGACTTGATCTGGGTTTGGCAAACACTGGCTGAAAACACGGGCAGGACAAAGACAGAACACGGCCGTGCCCACCAAAAGCACGCCCGTGTTTTCACCAACAGGCTGGCCGTGTAATTAACCCTTGGCAAAACACGGGCGGGCTGAAGCAGAACACAGCCGTGCCCTCGACCGTGTTTTGCCCAGTGATGCCCTTATAAGCAGATTTTAGCAAAAACAGAAGGGGATTCGAGTTTTAGAGAGACAGAGCGATTCCTAGAGAGAGAAAGCGACGAACAAGAGTCTCCAAGTGCCCTAGCTTGATCTTCATCACCATTGGAGCTTGGCTTGAGCTTGGAGAAGTGCCGATCAACGTCCAGGAGCAGGAATCTATCCTTCACAGTATGAATTCCGCGTCTGATTCTATGATTTGATTATATTCAATTGAGGTTTGAATGATTGAATGGCATGAATCCTGATCAAATTCCTGTTGTTTCTGCTTTAACCTAGAATGAGAATATCTGCCTAGGTTGATAGAGCATCCTTGATTGAAGGTAGGGAGTTGGTGACTTTAGTCGAGGAGCCAACTCACTATTCTGTACCGAATTCACTTCGGTAGTGGAGGTTTTGTTCGTTAGGGCCTCAATCTGTTTACTCCGGTGGAGGTTAGTCACCCGTTAGAGACCCAGATTGAGAGGGTCTGAAGACCTTTAGTCGAGACTTCAGGCTGTTTAAGAACCTTCCGCAGTATAACTATCATAGAAACTGAACTTGGTAATTGCAATTCGGCTTAACTGCAGTCTAGGGGGAACCATATCCGGGTGACCTCTCTTAACCTAAAAACAACCGTTTAGTTGCTTTGTTTGTTTGTTAGTTTAGACTTGCATTAAAGTTTCATTGCTAGATAACAAGAATTCACCGAGTAGTCATCAAATCTAGGACCCGGGTTGACATTAAAACCCAAACCCGCCATACTACGCTTTAGGAAGTGGTTTCACTTGGCCAATTCCTAGAGTGACAGTAGAAGTGAGTCAGTTTGCGTACCAAACGGACCAAACCAAACCAAGTTGAACCAAGTCGAACCGAATCGATGTGGTGGTTGGAATAACCAAACCGGTCCAACTACCATGGGCCGAACCGATGGAATGGTTCATTATTTCAAACATGAACCAATGTGTTGGTTGGGGTGTAACCACCCATATGAAGAGTCGCCTCCCTTCGTACGCACCCCTTCATTTTCTATAAATAGCACCTAACCCCCTCTGGTTTTTACAAGAAAGATATTTTTCCCGATACGAATATTCTGCCAAAATCCAAAACTAGTTTTCTGCATTCTTTCAAAGAGAAAAATAGAGTCAAGTGTGGTACTCGCCGGTTCGCTGCGTTCGATGGGTTCCGTGGTTTGAGGTACCGCTACGCCGGAAAAGGTACGTCCTTTCTATCCTGGGAGGAATCATTCCATAACCTTGGGTACTTGAGGGGAATAAGATTCTTTAAGGAGAGATAGTGAATTCTATCGGCTAGGACGCTTGCATTTGTCTTTGCATGTTTTCTTAATCTTATGTGTTTGCTTGTGTTGCAAGAAAATAGTATACGTGAACAATTTCCCCAACAACATTTAGACAGAGTAGTACCAAGTAAAAAAGAACAATGGCAATAGCGTAGTGAGCTAATTTCTAAATTTTGTATTGATGTGATGACTCGATATTTGCACATGTTTTCCCCTTTGTTTCTTGATCGTTTGAGATTTAATTATCGCGTCTTTGGCCTATTTTACGCTAGGTTGTGTTCCTTTGTCACATTTCAGGTCCTAGCACATAAAGTGAAGCATAGGCGCAAGTTTCAAGTCAATTAGAGATCAATTGGCGATTGGGGAGAAGAAACTCGGGCTTGACCTAAAGAAGAATGGATTTCTACCTCACTTGATGGACAAAGAATCATTCAAGCTTGTCATTAAAAGAAAGAGGACGAGACTACGAGCGTCTGGGATCAAACGGCGACTGATTCGGAGTCCGGACGAGGGAGAAACGAAGCATTGAATATAGGGGAACATGTTCGGCAGTAAAAACACGGGCACGCCTAAATCAAAATACGGCCGTGCCCATATTTAGGCACGACCGTGTTTTGGCCGACGCGCGCGGGTGTGTGTTTAACACGGGGCAAAACACGGGCGGGTAAAAGCAAAACACGGCCGTGTCCTCAACCGTGTTTTGCCCATAATCGGGTTTTTTAAGCCAATTTCGAGCCCAAAGAGAGGGAGAGCTGGGTTTTGGATCCCAAACACCCAAGGGACGAACCAAAGAGAGAGAGAGGGTGATTTGAGGGAATTCTTGGAGTGGAATTGGAGGATTTCTTTGCCTTGGAAGCTCGAGGAACAAGCCCGGACTTGAAGACTGATCATCTGAAGATTCTTACTGCAGTCTCTCTCTTCTCCATGGAGTAACTTCCCTTCACTTAGGTTTTGAGGAACCCTAGCTATGTTTGTTTGATTGGATGATTGTATGAGTACTCTGACTTGATAATCTTGAGTTCATATTCAATCTATGCATGTTTTCATGATTCAATTCTGCTTTAGTCGAGATTATTGATTCTGCTTTGATCCTATGAGAGGGAATACCTGATTAGGTCAATAGAGCACCATAGATTGATAGTAGTGGATCAATTGCTTTAGTTGAGGGTTGATTCACTGCTTTGTATCGATTGAGAACCTCTTTCGATAGAGGGAGTCTAGTTTAGAACGCCTTGATCAGTTGTTCTAGAGAAGGATACGTCCCTCTAGGCAATTGACTCAAGAGGGCCTTGTTCCTTTAGTCGAGACTCAAGGTCTAGTCAAGGATTCTCCGCATTGTGAATGAAAGTGAAACAAGTTAGAAATCATCAATCGTTAGTCTGGCTAGTGGCTAGGGGGAATCATACCTAAGTGAGTTCCCAACCTGTAATTATATTAACTTTAACTGTAGTTTGCTAGAGTAGTTTTAGTTCTTTCATCTTAATCTGGTTTGCTAAATAATAAACTGAAGCTGAGTAATAGTAACTCTAGAGACCCGTGGATTCGATATTTATCACTTGAGCCACTATACTGCAGTCCCTTCCATTGGTTACACTTGGCCATTGTTAGGTGTTGTGTCGTAGCGAGTCAAGTTTTTGGCGCCGTTGTCGGGGACTTTCTAGAGTATTAGGAAAGGCAGAAGTTTGTTACTTTAGCATTTTTCTTTTCTTTTCTTTTCCACCCTTGCTTTTCACTTGGGTGTTTTTGTTTTTGTTGGTGCAGATCTGAATCATGGATCCTCATGGCTTCTCCAACAATTGGGGGTATCCACCACCACCCGAGTGGTATTACCCCGAGACTCCCTGGAGCAATCAAGGAGGAGAAGACTATGGATTCGGGTTCCAGTTGTATTAATCAAGGAAGTGAAAAAGCATTGTAATCTCATAAACTCAGCTGTATTAATCAGTTGGTATTTAGCATGATCAAATGATACAAAAGGTCTTAAGCTTACAGCCTGGAACGCCCAACAAATGCATAAGGTTTGCACTAACTTCTTATGGCATGGTGGCGAAGATGGGAGAGGTAAGGTTGGGTGGGACAGACTAGCAAGGCCTCGAATTGAAGGAGGGGTAGGTCTTGAGGAGCTGTTTTTCTAGAACCAGGCTTGTACTACCAGGATGATTTGGTTACTGCTTATGCAAAGCGGGATTATCTGGGTGGCCTGGATCTCATAGTATAGGATCAAAGTAGGTGGCATTTGGATAATAGGATCCATGATAAGCCGTTAATTGCACATGTTTTTACCCCTATTCTGGAGCCGTTTGAGATGGTAATTCTCGTGTTTTAGGTCGATTTCACGCTAGGTTGTGTTTGTTTGTGATATTTCAGGTCCAAGCAAGTGAATGAAGGTTTAGGAGCGAGTTCGGGGTCGATTGGACGAAGATCGGGCGCGAGGCAAGTCAAAAATGAAGCCACACAGGCACACACACAACTCACACGGCCGTGCAAGTGACCAAGGAGGCCGTGTGAGAATCTGCGAGCCTTCACACGGGCACAAGTAAAATCCACACGGCCGTGTGAAGTTTCAATTTGGCCGTGTGAAAATCTACGAGGCTTCACACGGCAAGGCTGGGTGAGCTACACGGCCGTGTGCCCCTGGCCGTGTGGGAAGCCTGAAACCCAATTACTCGGAACGCGGCGTTTTGACCTCACACTGGCAACTGGGTATGCCACACGGCCGTGTGGCCTGCCCGTGTGAGTCGGGAATTTCTGGTTTTTACCCAATTTCGGGCTGCAAGTGAGAAAATCGGATTTTCAGAGCAAAAACAGAGCCCTAGAGAGAGAAAGTACGAAGAACACATCCTAGAAGCTATCTTGGAGCTGGGTTTCATCAAATCGAGCTTGGAGATCGTCATAGGAGTGGAAATCATCATCCCAGAGCAGATTCTTCCCATAGTTATGAGTATGACTGCTTTGTACTCTGTTTTCCTCTCTCTCTCTCTATGGAGTAGAACCCTTCTCTCACTTGGGTATGAAGAACCCTAGTTCCATGTGTTAGGGATTTGATTGTAATGACTTGGGATGATATTACTGTTTGGTTTTAATCGAATGATGCATGTTTATTGAGTCAATTGAAGTCTGATCAGCTTTTCCTGATTTATGCTGCAACCTGAGGTAGATAGAATCTGATTAGGTTGTTAGAGCCTCATCATTCGGTAGTAGGAGATTGGCTATACGAGAGTTAGCTAGTTTACTGCTTTGTACTGAAATCCAATTCCAGTAGTGGAGTTCTGTTCTTATTGCTTCAGCTTTTTATCCCGGTGAAGACTAGTCGTCTGCAAGGTAGTTAGACTGAGAGGGCTTGGTCAGCTTAAGAGATTCCAAGCTACTGTCGGATCTTTCGCAGTCTAATCAACAGTAAATCCCCCTAGGGAAATTACAATTGAAACCTAACTAAGGAGCTAGGGGGACTCATTCCCGAGTGACTCTTCTTTGCTTGAGAAAACCGTACCAATTCCTGCTTTCTTTCTGCTTTTGCTTAAAACAACAAACACTTAACTAGTTGGCTAGATAATAGATACTCACGGAGTAAGTAGTAGATCTAGACCCCGGGTTGATAATAGAACTTGCCATTTTACTGCATTCTCGGACTGCGATTACACTTGGTCGCAGTTTGGTGTTGTGTTTTGGCGTGTCAAGTTTTTGGCGCCGTTGCCGGGGAACCTCTAGGTTATTGGGGAAACGTGCAAATCTGTTACTCTAGCTTTTTCTTTACTGCATTTTATCTCTTCCACCTGTGTGCCTTCACGGGTTGCTTCTGCTGATTGTGTGCAGGTAGTGCATGACCCGTAGCCAGTCGGGAGATCTACTACCACTAGACCAGGAGCTTGAACGAACCTGCAGAAACTTCAAGCAGGCTCTAAAGGCACGACTGCTGCGGAGGAGGAGCTAGCACAGCTGCAGATCGCTGAAGAAGAAGAGATGGGGGATCCACAGGACCATGATGTGGTCATTCCCGAGGAGCAGACCATGGGACATTACCGGACCGCCAGGGCTGCAGACATGAGGTCACCCATTCAACACCCTCATGTCCCAGCCAATAATTTTGAGGTGAGCACCTCAGTAATCACCATGCTGCGCAGTTCAGTGGTGTTCCGAGGAAAAGAGGGGGAGTGCCCTCGTTCACATCTCAGGCGATTCCACGAGCTCATCGATGGAATCAAGATCAATGGGGTCCCAGCAGATGCCATCCAGCTGAGGTACTTCCCATTCACCCTGGAGGGGCAGGCCAGGGAGTGGCTAGACACTCGACCTCCGGGCTCCATCACCACGTTCGCCAACCTGGCGGACAAGTTCCTCACCCGCTACCATCCTCCATCCAAGACGGCGGACCTGCAGAAGCAAATTACCCATTTTGCTCAGGACGAGGATGAGACCATCAGGGATGCTTGGGAGAGATACAACAGTCTCTTCCTGAGGTGTCCCAATCATGGTTTCAATGATGCTTTCAAGGTGGGAACCTTCTATCACGCCCTCTTCCCAGAAGACAAGCAGCTGATTGACTCAGTTTGTGGCGGGAACATGCTGACCAAAACACCACCACAGCTGAATCAACTCTTTGACGAGATGGAAGAGAACGGGTATGATTGGGGCACTGCTAGGAGGTCGAGGAGAGCACCAAGCCGAGGTGTACATTCTGTGGGAAACCATTCCTCTGATTTGGTGCAGGTGGTGTCGAAGTTGGTTTCAGCTATCGATCGTTCCGGGATGATTCCAGGGACCGGACAGCAGCAGGCGATGCTCTGCCAGTGGTGCGAGAGCACCCATCATACAGTGGAAGACTTCTAGGCGATGAAGGAATCGACCACAGCCCAGGAGCAGGTGAACTTCATCAATAATGTTAGGCGCAATGACCCCTACAGCAACACTTACAACGAGGGGTGACGCCAGCATCCCAACTTCTCCTGGGGTGGGGCAAATTCTAGACCACCAGTCCCCCAGGGACCACCGGGCTTCCATAGGCCGCCATATCAGCCCAGACAGGGGCAATTCCAGCAGTAGCAGCAGTCTCTCTACCGGCCCATGCAGGGGCAGGCTGCTCAATCACAGCCGCGACCTTTCCAGCAGCCAAGTGCAGCCCCTGCCACCCCAGTGCAAAATGATCCGATGGCTGAACTGCGGGACTTGGTGGGCTCTCTTGCCAGTTCTAGTGCTCAGAAATTCAACACTATCGAGCAGTTCATGGAAAAGGCCTCGGGTAAATTCCTAGGTCTTGAAGCTGGCCAGAGGAACACACAGGCTGTCTTGCAGGATATCCAAACCCAGCTGGGGAGTGTGGCTCAAGCAGGGGCACAAAGGGCTCCTGGGACTCTACCCGGTCAGACCATCCCTCATCCGCAGAACCCGAACGAGCACTGCAATGCCATCACAACAAGGAGTGGCAAGATGACTGCTTATCCACCTGTTCGGGCACAAGAGAGAGATGCCCTTGTCTCGGCATCTCCATCGGTGGAAGAAGAAGCAGAGAAGGAGGTTGAGGTGCCTGCGCCTAACCCGCAACCAGTAGTGAAGGAGTATATCCCTCAACTCCCCTTCCCTACTCGGTTGCACAAAGACAGGCTGGAGGCAGAGTTCGGGAACTTCATGGCCATGCTTAGGAAGCTGAATGTCCAAGTACCTTTCCTGGAGGCACTATCTCAAATGCCTAAGTATGCGAAGTTCCTAAAGGATCTTCTCTCAAAGAAGCAGAAGCTGAGTGAGCTGGCCACTATGGAGCTCAGCGAGGAGTGCTCGGCCATTCTGCAGAACAAGCTTCCGCAGAAGCAGAAGGACCCAGGTAGTTTTACTATCCCGTGCTCTATAGATAATTTGCATGTAGAGAGGTCCTTGGCGGATTTAGGTGCTAGTATCAATGTTAAGCCGTATAAACTGTTCAAGAAACTAGGCCTAGGTGAACCCCGTGCTACTAGGATGACCCTTCAATTAGCTGACTGATATGTAGTGCATCCTAGGGGCATAGTGGAAGACCTTCTGGTTAAGGTTGGCAAATTCAATTATCCTGTGGATTTTGTTGTCTTGGACATCAATGAGGACACAGAAGTGCCCCTTATACTGGGAAGGCCTTTCCTGGCCACCGCCAAGGCTCTCATAGATGTGCATGATGGGACCTTAGTTTTGAGGGATGGCGAGGAGAGAATAACGTTTTCAATTGCTAATACTCTTCCTGCTTCGTCACCTCTGCATGCTGTATCTCACCAGGAGCACGAGTCTGTCGTGTATCCTTCTGTGTTTCCTATTTTGCAGGATCCGCCTCCCATACCTTTGCCGCCACTCTCGTCCACTCCGTCACCTAAAGAACAGATCAAGGAGGAGTGGCGGCCGAAACTGCAGGCAGCTAAGCCTGCTCGAAAGAAAGCCGGAGACCACTACGAGCTGGTCCCGCCCCCACCTTGGCCATCCGAGTATTCACTCGCTTGCATCCTGGCGGATGGCCAAGTCGAGTTGTCAAATGCTGGTGGCCACGTTCTTCGTGTGCATGGCCACCATTTGAAGCTGTACCTCAAGAGCGAGGTGGATCCGCTCTTGAAGGCACCTGCTCCTTCACCTCATTGAGCATCCACCGACTGGCGTCCAGCTAAAAGACGGTAAAGAAGCGCTTGTGGGGAGGCAACCCCACCTAGGTTTGCATTTTCTTACCTTTTCCTTTTGATTTTTTGTGTTTTTTGATTCTTGAGGGGTTGTTCACGAGTTGTATGTCGTTCTGGAGTGAAAACAGGTCAATTTCGGAGTTCTGGCAGCCCACACGGCCGGCCCTGAATGTCGCACGGCCGTGTGGATTTGAGTTTTGGCCGTGTGAGCTCTCGTGAAATTCCACACGGCCAGTGGTGATTGTGACACGGCCGTGTGGAAATTCCCCCTTGGCCGTGTGAGCTCTCGTCAAAAGTCACACGGCCAAATGTGCTTTCACACGGCCGAGTGAAAAATCCTCGGCCAGCCCGTGTCGGCCGACACGGGCAAATGTGTACCTCACACGACCGTGTGAGCCTGGCCGTGTGGCCGAGCCACGGACTATAAATTCGGCGACACGGCCGAGTGGTCAGAAAATCCAAATTCTCTCGCCGGAAACCTCTCCCCCTCGCCGGAAAACCGCGCCTTTTCGCCATCTTTGTCGATTTTTTTGCCATTTTTGGTCGGTTTTTCACAAATCCAACACCACACCCACCCTTTCCTCCCCATAATCAGCCTATCCCTCGATTTTGAGGTGATTTGGATTGATTTTGAGTCGCCGGAGGCAATTTCCAGCGAGACTCCGGCGAGCCTCCGACGAGCACTTCCGGGCAGTTTTTCGGCCTTTAGTGACACACCCTAACCCGGCCGGGTACTACTTTTACTAAAATGCCCTTGATAAATAAAATACTCAAATCTTAAATTGCAACTGGAAAAAATTTTAATAAAAAAAATACTGAAAACACACACTTGTAGTTCAAAGCAAAGCCCTAACATGTGGGCAAATTAAACTCAACCTTTAAAAACTCAACTTGATCTCAAAATAATCTCCAGTCTGTACTCATAATCATAAAAGTAATTAACTAATAAACTCTGAAGCTGATGCTACTGAAAACCTTGACTAAGCATCCTGCGTGACGCTTATACTGCTCTCCTCTAACTGGCTGCTCTCGAACTTTTCCTCTCGAACTCGCTGCTCTCTAACTGCTCTTCTAGCTAGCTGCTACCGATCTGGTTCTCGCTCATTCCCTTACTAAGGCCTGGTGAGTGAGTTGGGGTCAGTCTACGCCCTTACGTTTTAAACTTTCTAATAATTTTGCACTTCTTCTCAAACACTTAAACTCAAACTGAGGGAAGTTGTTTGTACTTCCATTCTTAAAATCTTAACTCTTAAAACTGTATGGGAGTAACTGTTACTCTCCATTCTTAAAGCTCAAATCTCAACTTAAAATACTTGACTGACACTGGGATCCTTCACTAGCTAGTCCGGTTGCCAACTCATACGTATGAGAAGCCATAAAGGCTTTCCTTAAACTTAAACTTAGTTAGGGAAGTCGTAATGATTCATCCCCATAACATCTTAAACTTATCGTGGTGGCTCTTAACCACGTCTCTCAAGAGCATAACTGCTGCTCAACTTAAATATCTCAAGAGCATAACTGCTGCTCTGTCTCAAGGATCTCAAGAGCATAATTGCTGCTCTATCTGAAAAACTCAAATGGCAACGGACTGGCGCTAGCGACTAAAAATACTTAAAACGACTTCACCTTCTTGAAGGTGAATTACTTCTTAAAAAGAACTTGTTTCTTAAACTTTAACAACTTATACTAATAAAATTTCAAAGTAAGTAATAACCATTCACTTCAAGTCATAACTCAAACAAGGCACATATCATCAACCATAATCATGCAATCTCAAACATGAATCAAATACTGCACATACATCACGTAAAGCAATACTCGAAAATACTCAAGGCAAACACTTGAAAATCGTAAGGCGTAGAATGTACCCCCTTTACACTCACCTTAATACTGAAGTCTGTTGTGCCCTGGTCTCCAATTCCCTAGACCTCGCTTGAGCCAACTAGCTAGCATCTCAACCCCCTTTCCGCGTACTGCCAACTTCCACTGTTCCAAGAAATCCACAAACCACTGTCTTCTAACTTAAACCAAAAAGCAACTAAATGGTGGGGTCATGATATCATTACCTCACACGTTAATTCCAAGCCAAAAAAACCCACTACCATTTCCCACCTAATGGCGTTTTCTCCTTCTGGTCCGCCACAATCTCCCTCTCACCGACAATCGTAATAAACTCCATGGCACTCATAACTGAAATCCCTCCACAAAGGAAGTTCGGTCTCCGAGTTGACCAGCATCAGGCTCTCGTGAGAACTGGGACGGAATATTGTGTCACTTTGAGGCTTGCGGTGAGAATTAGAATAGGATGGGCGGCTGGGTAAAGTTAATGGCGGCGGGGAGTTGTTCGCTGGAGAGGGTGCTAGCGGCGGGGGTGGGGAAACTGATTTGGGAAGAGGGCGGCGGAAATTGGATGGGCCGAGGGTTTTTTTTTTTTTTTTTGTAAAACCATTGAGGGCCAACCGCTCTCTCGGTTTATATGTATATTTTTTTAATAATAATAATAATATAGTTATTATTATTATTATTCATAAACCGCGGTTGCAACCCTTCGTACGTAATCATCGATCCAATCATACGGTCGAACCTAACCCAAAATTTGGGTGTTACATTTCCTCCACCCTTATAAAAATTTCGTCCTCGAAATTTGCTTGAAACTCAATGCTCATTCTACACCATCTTTGTACTTCTTTGCCTCAAGAATTTACTCTAGCTAATGTACTTCAATGATGTCCGTTGCTTGTCCAATGTCCGTTGCTTGTCCCGTATAGTTTATCACACTTCTTATATTTCCTCTTGACCATAGAAGAGATTCTCACCAAGCTCGTTAGTATCGGGCAGCTTTGGGTGGCTACTTATCCTTTTTAATTCCCCACTTGGGCATAAGGCGTGACGGGACAACACTTCGAGTCGATTTATTGGTCCAGCCCATTCAGTACTTGTTTTTTTTAAACTTAGATCGAATTCGAGGTGTCACATTTCCTCCCTTCTTCAGAAAATATTTCGACCTCGAAATTTGTTAATCTTGACAACCCAAAGTCCCACTTGAGGTAATCCTTCCACTACAGAGATTTATACTTCATTTACTTCGTACAACCTTGAGCTATGATTCCTTCCCTCCAATTCGTGTGGTTCTTGGTCAATGATAACTCACTCATTTCTCCCAAACTACTTACTCCGCTAGCGTCTTACTAAAAGAGACTATGTATTTGTGGCACTCTCCTTCATCGACGCCTTTGAAGTTGTGAAGAATTCTTAGCTATTATTGT